AACAACAACAACAACAACAACAACTGCAACCCTAAGGAGCTCTTATAGCATAGTGGTTTACAAGGTGGGCTTTCTGCTTCAGATGTACAGCCCATACAGGGTCACTATGAGTCAGCACTGACGCCATGGCACACAACCACCAACAAAAACTGTAACCCTAAAACTAGGCCAAGTCCTACTTCTAGCCCTACCCCAAACCCTATCTTTAACCCTACTCTGACACTACACCAAACCCTAGGCCTAGCCTAGACCTAGCCATTATTATTGTTAAGTGCCCTTGAGTTGGTTCTGACTCGTAGCAATGCTCTATAGGGTTGTCAAGGAGCAGCTGGTAAATTTGAACCACTAACCCTGTGGTTAACTTATAGACTTATAAGGGGAACACTAGGAAGGTGACCATCAGAATCTTAACATCATGTCAAAAAACATTAAATGAGACAAATATCCAAGGAAAACATTTTTTAGACAGGGCTGTCAACCTCGGTAGAGTAAAAGATGATACTATACCATAAAATAGTTCAGAAAAACATAAGAAAATGCCAAGTTAAAATAAAATCAGGAATGTAAGGGAAGATTACCAAAATAAAGAAACAATGCAAGGAAATTTAAAATGCAATTACAGAACTAAAAGCCACCGTGAAGGTATCAAAGAACATATCCAGGTAGCCCTTAACTTAACCAGTATTTGAGTTACAACTAACTGCACTTAGGGCTATTCATATTTGTTCTGTACATCTTACTATTAGTAATATATTACACTGGTAATTTGCTGCTGTTATCATTATCATTCTCAGATTCTCATTCACATATTTTCAACTTTGTGATTTTTGTTCAACTCACTGTCAGATTTGTAAAGATCCTGATAATGTTTAGTGCTTTCAAGTCAATTTTGCCTTATAGCAACCCTGTATAGGGTTTCCAAGGAGAGTCTTTGGAAACTACATACGTATCACACTTAGTGCATAGGGTCACTGTGAGTTAGAACTGATTCAACAGAACCTAACAACAACATATATATATATCATTTAAGAGTCTATATTTTAAAAGATTAAATTACTCCATTAAAAAATGAGTTTACTCAAGGTGAGGTGTTTAAAATTTGAAATTATATACTATTTACAGTTGTTGCTGTTGTTGTTACGTGCCATTGAGTCGGTTCCGATCCATAGTGATGCTGCACAGAGTTTCCGAGGCTGTAAATCTTTACGGGAGCAGAAAACTTCATCTTTCTCCCACGGTACAGCTAGTAGTTTCAAACCGCTGACCTTGCGGTTTGCAGCCTGATTCATAACCACTACGCTACTATTTACAGTAAACACATCTAAAAGTTATCCAAAATACTAATGATAGTTAATAATGGCTTAGTATGCAGCAGACACTGTTCTAAACACTTTATCTATTTAACATAACTTATGTAAGTTTACTTAATCTTCCTCATTTTCAGATGAGGAATATGAGGCATAGAAATTTTAGCCAAAAGTCAAATCACTAGTAAGTGACAGAAGAGAATCTGAAAAAGAAATATTCTATTAGGCAAAAACAATAAAAATTAAAAAACGATTTAAAAAATTTTATTGGGTGGAAAATAATATCAAGACATTTATGGTATATTAAAAAGGTTTGCATAAAAATGGCTTACTCAGTCCATTAGCATAATCATTGTGATTATGAAAAAGAATAAGAGCAATTTGATTACCTCAGCTGATGTCAAGCAGTCAATTGATTAAGCTCAATTTCAAATTAATATTCATAATAAACTGTGAGTAAAAAATATTATCTGACCATAATGAGGACTATTTCTCTCATGCAAATAACCAGCCATCATAGATGAAACAATAGAGGCATTTCCATTTAAAAATACAAAAGACGAGAGATGCTCTGGAATCACTATTAACTTCTGAAAGATTAGGCCAGTGCAGTCAGATATGTGTTGGATATAAAAGGCATGTAGGTTGGAAATGACAGTTGCCACTGTTTTTAAATATTATAAATCAAACACCCAAAGAACCTAGTTAAAATATTAATTTAATTATTTAAATAAAAAATTACTTTTTACAACTATACCAAAGTAAATTTTGGTACAATAGTAAATCAAGAATTCACAGGACTATGTTCTGTTATTTGGTTGAGGCAAAGCTATCACTTCTCTTTTACAAAACTCTTACTTGAAAGACTCTCCAAGTGTTAGAATGTTAACTCACCAAAAAATTAAGTTAATGTCTACATAATTTTTTCAATACATTCAAGACAATACATTTCTAGGCTACCTGATTGTGCAACAAGTCATGTGTATGTTGAATAATGCCCTCCCTTATCTATCTATAATTATACAATGAGAATGAACAAAATAATTAAATATGTTTTCATCTAGCAAAACAGAAAAAAACTTTTACCTTGGTATGTTTGTTTCTCATCCTTATTTTGCAACTTCTCGTCTGAAACACCAGTCTTAATAACAAAAGATGTAATAAATAATTGTAGATTATATATCTTAAAGTTAGGTAAATTATTTTTTTCTACATTTTATGGAGTAGAACCAACTCAAAGATACAATCAACACTCACTATTTTCAGGTTAATTACATCTCAGGAAGAGCATAAATCTTGGATATTTTCACCTCATCATGAGACCCTGATAACAGAAGCTGATAAATGCTAAATGTTAAGGGTCCTTACCTCAACCCATGGACCCAAGTATCAGAACCACTGGGAAGGTGCCTGGTAAACCTTTACTAGGGTATGATTGCCATAAGTAGTTAACATAGTCTCAGAAGTTGGAATTTGACTGGTGTTTCAACCAGTGTTTACTGTTGCTTTTCGCTCTCTGACTTTCTTTTATCCTAGTGAGGACTTTACTTATTTAACTTTCACAGGCAACCTCGTTTTTCACTCTTATCTACAAAGTCATTGAAGAAAACTGTTACTTTTCATTACTGTTTGAATATGTTAAATGAAATATGAAAATAAATTAATCTGAGAGGCATCTGGGAAAACTGAAGAGTGTGAAGGAACCGCAGGCAACATTGTGACTGTCTCATAAATAGCTCCTCAAAAAAAAAAAGTATTGATAATTATTATAATCCTACTTTAGATTCCCATTACTCATCCGTTAGTTTGTTGTACTGGGATGGTTTGTGTGATGCTGTAATGTTGGAAGCTATGTCATGGGTATTATACATACCAGGGTACACCATGGTAGACAGGTTTTAGGTGAGCTTTCATACTACAACAGACTTGAAAGAAGGAAAGGCAGACTACTTCTGAATGTTCAGCTACTGAAACCTTATGAATAGCAGTGGAACACTGTCAGCACTAGAATATTGCATTCTGAAACATGATGTATAGCAACAAAACATTGTCACATATTGTGCTGAAAGCAGAACCACTCATGTTGGAAGGCATTCAAAATCAACTGGGGAAGAGCTGCGCCCCCAAACTTGAGTTAACCCTGATGAAGTGAATGGAATAAAGCTTTCATCGAGACCTTCATATATTGATGGGGTCCAACTCAAAATGAGGAGAAACACCTGTAAACACTCATTAATAATCAGAATATGGAATATACTAAGCATGAATGTAGAAAATTGGAAGCTGTCAAATATGAAATGAAGCACATAAAGATGGATACCCTAGGCATTAGTGAGCTGAAATGGACTGGTCTTGGCTATTTTGAATCTGATAATCATAACAATTACTAGCTGAAATGACAAATTGAATAGGAATGGCATCATATTCTTCATCGAAAAGAACATTTAATGATCTATCCTGAAGTAGAATGCTCTGATAGAATAATATCCATATGTCTACAAAAAGACAGCTTAGTAACACTATTATTCCAATTTACGCAGGAACAACCAGATCTAATGGCAGTTAACAACAACATCTACTACAATCTCAAGGAGGCATTTGAGTGCCTTCTAACCTGAGGGGCTCATCTTCCAACACGATAGCTGACAATAGTTAGCTACTATTCATAGTTTTCAGTGGCTAACCATTCAGAAGTATCCTTCTTCATCTGTCTTAGTGTGGAAACCTGTTCATCATGGGTGACCCTGCTGGCATTGAAGCTAACAGTGGCATAACTTCCAATATCACAGCAACACACAAGTGAACATCAGTAGGACAAAGTGACAGATGAGTAGTGGTTACTGTTATCAGCAATATTTACTTAATGTAATAATTATCTCAAAAAATTATAATTATCTTAATACCTAAAAATCGCTGTCTTGTAGATGAGCCTGAAATGAAAACCATTTTTCCTTGTCTCAACTAGAGATTCTTATCTTTTCTTTATCATTAAAACTCTAATGTAGGTCACAACATCTTAATTAATACTAATGAAATTTCTTAAAATTTAAAATAGTGTTTTGATTCCTAAACATTACTTTAAGCATCCTAAATATAGAACTGTTGTATTAAAAGGCAAGCTCTTATTTTGTCAAAACAATGAAATATTTATGAGTTTTTAAATGAACATTTATTCAAACTATTAAAGAAGTACGTCAATACAGAATAAACAGATGTCAAGTGATTATTAGCAGCTCATACCTTTAAGGTATCACTATCCTTTGATTTTCTTTTACTAAAAGCAGGATGTGACATAGGTGGATCTGTTACTGTTTCATTCCTTTCAGGTAATGTTCCCACCGGCAGTGAAGCTCGAATTTCTTTGCTGGATAATACTGATGACAATGATTTATCTTGGGTCTCTGATGTAGGTGCATGGGACAGTTCTTCACTGAATGAGACTTCTTTTCGTTTCTCTAAAAAAGTTGAGTTATGTTGAGACTTGAGGATCTGTGAAAGATCTGAAATAGCAGGGCTAGATCTTTTCTTCTCTGAGCTTTAGAATTACAAAACATCTGGTATTAGATTATGTGAAGAATATTTTTAATGTGCAACTGAAAAATCATTGTCACAATCTATAAGGATATTAAATAAGCAATTATAAATATTCATTAATTACTGGTAACGCAAACATCAAATTGATGCTAGATAGCAAGTTGTAGCTAATACTAATATCTTCTGGGTTTAAATGAATTAACAGAGTTAATTAACACAGAATTAACATAGTTAAAATATTTCAACAAACAGGTGTCCAGCTTCATAAAACGCTAGTAAAGAAGGATTTGCTCAGCCAAATAGAACACAGGATCTTCTGGAAATTACTTTTTAGCCCTATTAACTCTTGTTATTTTTCTACAATTCCAGAAGAGATTTTTTTAAAAATAAAAATCTCTCCATAGATTTTGCCACTGAAAGGTCATTGTCTTCCACCAGAGTCAATTATCAAGCTTAAGTTAGTGTTCTTCAAGGTAAGAGGTATTTCGTTTCCTCCACCAGTAAGCACAAGATCAGCTTTCAGGATTCCAAAACTAGGGTGGACCATATGTCATGGCGTGCCTGTATCATCTCAGTTTATGCTTGTGTTCAACAGCCTAGTTTAGATGACATTATAAATTTCAAACTATCTGTCCCCTATATAATAATTCAACAAAAGCATTCCTGGCTCTATCAAATACAATAGTTTGATGGCTCTTCATTGAAACAACTATTACTCCAGTTGATATAATTTACCTGAAGTTCTGTTGCAAAGTGTCTAAAATTCTATGAATTGTGGACTCAGGGAGGCAAATTTTTAAAAATGTAACTACTGCCACCCATCTTACATTTTTAGTTCAAGATGATGTTTAAATATCAGAATCTGAATTTTAAAAATGGAGGAAGTAGGGACTTGGAGGGCAATCTTGAGAATATAAGTGAAACTGGGTTGGTGGCAAAAAGACATCTAACTTATGACCAACAAAATTTTTATGGTGGCATTATAAACCAGATTCCAAGATTAAAGCGAACAGGTGACCCCCTATCACAAATAGATAAGGACAGCAACTTATCCTCAAGTATTCTTAGATATGTGAATTTAAGACAGCTGGTTTTAAAATAGTCTAGCAATATTCTGGAGACCATTTTTTTTTAATCCATACCCAAAAGTACATTAGGTCATTGAAATATGAAAATAGTTCAAACACATAATGTAAACTGATCCTTACTTAAGTACACCTGTTGTTGCTGTTTGTACCAAGTCGGTTCTGACTCGTAGCAACCCTATGTAGGGTTTCTGAAGCTGTAAATCTTTATAGAAACTGAAAGCTTCATCTTTATCCTGTGGATTGACTGGTGGATTCGAACTGCTGATCTTGTAGTTAGCAACCCAACACTACACCACCAGTACCCCTTACAAGTATACCTAGAGTTACATAAAAACCACTACACCTGCTCTATCATTACCTCATAGCTCTAGGTAGATATAAACTTTTTGTAATGGTTATTGTTTGTTGTTGTTAAGTGCCATTGAGTCACTTCTGACCCATAGCAACCCTGCATAGGGTTTCCAAGGAGCAGCTGGCGAGCTTGAACCTCCAACCTTGCAATTCAAATGGCTTTGCAGTCTGGCGCATTAACCCACAGGCCCACACCAGAATTCCAATTGTTATTGGTGCGTATCATTAATCACTCGATCCTATCTAGGCAAATATATGGAAATCCCAAGATCAATGCCTTAAATACTAATACAATGGTTCATTTTAAAACATATTCCCAGACTCAAGCATTCCCCACTTGTATGGTCTCTCACAACCAGAAGGACCAATCCAGGGGAGGCAGAGATGAAAAATGCTAGAAAAATATGCAAGCAGTATCCATTCATCAAAGTGAGATAGCTAAGAAATCTCTAAGCAATGAAGATAGGCATATTTCCAAAAAAAATTTTTTAAACTAACAGAAAAGCTATGGGACACAGTCTATACTCACAGAAAAAAATAATAAAATAAGTTATTTTCTCCATCGCCATTTTTGGTAAGTTATCAAAAATAGCCTGCTAAATATGGCCTTTTACTGTTAAGTGTCACTGAGTCAATTATGATTCATAGTGACCTTGTACAGGGTTTCCAAGGAGCAGTTGGTAGGTTTGAATCACAGACCTTGTGGTTAGCAGTTCACTACTTAACCTACAGCACCACACCAAGACTCCAAATAAAGCTTGTTGCTGCTGCTGTACTCCCTGGCATAGGTTTCAACACATAGCAACTCTGTATAGGGTTTCAGACGCTATAAATCTTTGCATGAACAGAAAGCCTTACTTTCTCCTGCTGGTGGATTTGAACTGCTGACCTTGCAGTTAGCAGCCCAACATGTAACCCACTATGCCACCAGGGCTCCTTAAATAGACCCTGTAAGCCAGGCTAAATTTGTGTCATTCGTTGTTCTAGATTAAGATTCTTTCCAGTCATAACTCCATGTGACAATAGTACAGCATCATATTAAGAGCATGTATCTTAAGTTTGCAGGATAATGTGCTGAACTGTAAGGTCAGTTTGAACTGCAAGGTCAGTGGTTCAAGCCCACCAGTAGCTCCTCAGAAACCCTACATAGGGTCTCCATGAGTCCGAACTGACTCTATGATACTTGACAACAACAACAATCTTAAGCCAAACATGTTGCCAGCAGTCTACATGATGGTCTTATTGTTGAGGCGGCATAAAGAGTAAATCTCTTCCTGCTTCTAAAAAGATGTGATTCTTATGATGTGACCATTGCATGTTGTTCCCACCAATCAAGTTCCAGTCTGTTGTGCACATATCCACATAATGCACACCTGCAATGCTTCCTAATACAGTATGTCTCCCAGCTGTAACTGCTCAACCTGTCATCTGCCCTGTTTTTAACCTTCTTGTTGTCATTGTTGTTTTTAAAGAGGCTTGAGATTTTCTTTCCAGGAACTTTTCTCCTGCTCAAAACACACACAAAATAACTCTTGAAATATTGATGCATTTTAAATTATCAATACAAACAGAAGAGAATACATTTGACATTCTTATCTGTGATGTCACAAGATGTAGAGTACACTGTATACAAGAAAAACAATCTGAATAGCATTCTAAAAATTAATTTCATAGGAAATTTCCAATTTCCTAAGAGGCAAATTTTTTCATGAGTATTTTCATTGTTCTTTAAAAATGTAATCATCATGGATAAAATTCTCCATAGTAACCAGTTTGGATTCCTTAAATAAAAATGCAAAATTTTTTTTTTTAAATTCAGTAAAAAGCCATCATGATTAACATCTTCAAAATGCAAAAGGTTGGAATACTGGTGTGACACCGTAGGGTAAGTACTCGGCCTCAAGGTTGCTTTAAACTGCAAGGTGGGCAGTTCAAACTCACCAGCTGCTCCTCATAAACTCTATAAACTGTCTCCCAGAATGGGAATGACGCAATGGCATTTAACAGCAACAACAACAAAGAAAATAAGGCTGATGGATAACTTAGCAATAGTGAGTTAATGTGGAAATAATGCTTACATGAAAATGTTTCATTCCACTCCTATCATTAAAAAAAAAAAAAAACAAAAACAATTGTAAGTTGGATTCCTGGTGTGGCACTAACTGTAATATCAGCACTGGACTAAGAATGACAAGGGCAACAGTTCAAACCAATCAGCTGCTCCTCAGAAACCCTATACAGGGTCGCTGTGAGTCGGAACAAACGATGGTACTTAACAACTACAAAAGAACTTAAACTACAATATAAGTAAATTATATGGGACAAGAAGCAAAGGATGTTAACACTGAAAAAACCTAACTGTTGTTTACTTCGGAAGACAGACATGTTTTCTCCGGAATGACCCCAGTGGGTATCTCCCTTCACTGTCTGGTTGCTTGGCAGAAACTTTCACTGGCCCTACAATACTGGAGGAGACCTGGTGTGGCGCGGCAGATTAATGCGCCAGACTGCAAAGCCGTTTGAACTGCAAGGTTGGCAATTCAAGCTCACCAGCTGCTCCTCGGAAACCCTGTACAGGGAAGCTATGGGTCAGAATCGACTCGACAGCGCCTAACAACAACAACAACACTAGAAAGGAGCTCTGGTAGCATAGTGGTTACAAGTCAGGCTGCTAGCCTCAAGGTCAGCAGTTTGAAACTACCAGGTGTTCCATGGGGAAAAGATGAGGCTTTCTGCTCCTGTAAAAGTTACTGACTTGGAAACCATATATGGGGTTGCTATGAGATGAAACTGACTCCATGACACAAAACCACCATCACCACCACAATACTGGAGTGAGAACACCCTTCAGATGCTATCTCTCTCCAACAAGTTCATTTCCCCTAAGCAGGAAACTTCATCGTTCCAGAATGGTCTAAATCATCTAAATTGCCTACACCTCCCAATTTCTCTATAAATGTAAACTATTATGTGGAGTCCTGGTGTGACACTGAAAAGGATAAACACTTGACCTCGAGGTTGTTTTGAACTGCAAGGTCGGCAGATCAAACTCACCAGTCACTCCTCAGAAACCCCATAGAGGGTCGCTATGAGTCAGAACCTACTAGAAGACACTTTGAGCATCTCTACAAAGTATGGATACAGGATTCTTCCCCTGGAGCATTTTCCATGGTCCATACCAAGCATCCTTATGTAAAAGCTTGGGATAGTGTAGGTACTCTGCTGCTCCTTGTTGCAATTTTTTCTCAATAAACCTTGTCACGTACCTTGTGGTTGTTAGGTGCCGTCCAGTTGATTCCAACTCTTAGCAACCTCACGCGTAACGGAATGAAATACTACTGGTCCAGCAGCATCCTCACAATCAGTATTATTTTTGAGCCCACGGTTGTTGTCACTGTTTCAATCCATCTGTTGGGGTCTTCCTCTTTTTCACTGATTCTCTTTATCAAATATGAGGTCATTCTCTAAAGAACGATCCCTCCTGAAAATATTCCCAAAGTATCAGACGAAATCCCACATTCCTGGCTTCTACGGAGCATTCTGGCTGTACATCTTCTAAGAC